GCTCCAAATGGTGGATTCTTATTTAAAAAATGGCTAGTGTGACCTGTGCTCGCTGATCGCATAGCTGCAATAGTTCCTTAATCCTTAAAAACGATGAGAGTGTAAATCTCAAAGGTAGCTGTGCACGTGCTCTGCTATGTCCATGTGCAGCAGGCCTTGCTCTCTGCTGTATTTGGATACCAGCTTTTTGACTGGTGCTTTAGCTGTAAAATTCCTCGGAGCCTCAGACCTTGGTCTGGGAGCTTCCTCTCAGGCTCCTTGGGACTCCTACGCACTTCTTGCACGTGCATAGACTCAGTCTGCTCCCCTTCCCCGGCATCGGGAGCCAGGAGCGCCGCCGTGGCCTAGCCCTCCCTTCCTAGGCGCACCGCTCACCTCCACACCCCTCTTCGTTTGGTACAGTGGGCTGGGGTCGTGCAGCAGGAGCAGCAAACCGGCATGGCCATTGCAAAGGCAATTCAAGATCAAATGCCTGTTTTGCTCCCGGGCAGTGTGAAAAAGCACCAGGTTGTTTTGAAAAAGAGAACGTGTATGGATGCTGTGACGCTGGCGCAAGCATGTGTGACCATTGGGAGGCTTTGGAGATGTCTGGGCCCAGAAAGGCAGGATGGTCTCTGCTGATCGGGCTCCAGCAGGGGCACCCCCAGCTCGGCCAACCTGATGGAGAAACAGCTTCACAGATGCTAGAGCCAGTCCTGCTTTTTTATACAGGTCCAATATAATTGCACAATATAGAGATCTCTTCCATGATTGCTGATTGGCCCCACCAAGGAATTGAAGCCCTCCAGTGGTGAAGCTCATCCTTGGTTATGTCTGCCTCTGGCCAGAAGGCCAAGGCCAGGACCAGGATCTGGTCAAAGAGCACTTCCTCTGAACGCAATGTGATCAACGCTGTCGTTAGCCCTCCTAGAGTGCAAGTGGTTCACTTGATGCCTCCTAGCTCTTCTAACTTGTGTTAAACTCGTGGAGCTCAGAAATCCTGTTTGTTTTAAATACATTGACAAAATGGAGGCTGTGATTTGGAAATCCCAGTGAGCCACGTGATGATCACAGAATCACAGAATGGCCAAAGTTGGAAGGGACCTCTGGAGATCCTCTAGTGCAACCCCCCTGCTCAAGCAGGGTCACCTAGAGCCCAGGATCACATCCAGGTGGGCCTCGAATATCTCCATGGAGGGAGACTCTATAACCTCTCTGGGCAACCTGTTCCAGTGCTCAGTCACACAGGAAATAAGTTTTTCATGTTCAGACGGAACTTCCTGTGTTTCAGTTTGTGCCCGTTGCCTCTCATCCTGTCACTGGGCACCACGGAGAAGAGTCTGGTCCCATCCTCTCGACACCCTCCCTTCAGATACTTGGACACATCGATGAGATCCCCTCTCAGTCTTCTCCAGGCTGAACAGGCCCAGCTCCCTCAGCCTTTCCTCGTAGGAGAGATGCTTCAGTCCCCTCATCATCTTTGTAGCCCTCTGCTGGACTCTCTCCAGGACTGCCATGTCTCTCTTGTCCTGGGGAGCCCAGAACTGGACACAGTACTCCAGGGGAGGCCTCACCAGGGCTGAGAGGAGGAGCAGGATCACCTCCCTCGACCTGCTGGCAACACTCTGCCTAATGCACCCCAGGAGACCATTGGCCTTCTTGGCCACAAGGGCACACTGCTGGATCATGCTTAACTTGTCCACCAGGACTCTCGGGTCCTTCTCTGCAGAGCTGCTTTCCAGCAGGTCAGCCCCCAGCCTGTACTGGTGCATGGGGTTATTCCTCCCTAGGTGCAGGACCCTGCACTTGCCTCTGTTGAACTTCATGAGGTTCCTCTCTGCCCATCTCTCCAGCCTGTCCAGGTCCCTCTGAGTGGCAGCACAGCGCTGTGATGTATCAGCCACTCCTCCTAGTTTTGGATCATCAGCAAACTTGCTGAGGGTGCACTCTGTCCCTTCATCCAGGTCATTGATGAATAAGTTAAACAATACTGGACCTGGTATTGACCCCTGGGGAGAGTGATCCAGAAATCATGGCTCGAACTGCAGGTCATCAGAATGTCTTCCCAATTATGGGATCTCTTTTGAGATTTGCTCATTGTTTTTCTCAGCTGTTTAATTTTTACATTTCCTATAGGCAGTGCTTTGGGTGAATGCAGGCGGCAGTTGGTCTTTTCCAACCTGAGACCAATGTGATTTTATCCCTTCCAGCAGGATTTTTCAATTTACAAATCATTACTGCAACCAGATACCTGTACGAGCTGTGCAGCTGTTTCCTGAAGGCCTTCCCATCCCTCTGCTTCTCTGTCATTTCTTCCCCATATATAATTTTATCTCCAACTTCTTGGGATGCTCCTGGGTTTAGGAAGTAAATAACTTTATGGGTTTCTGTTATCACTTTTCTGCAGAGAAGTACAGTGCCAGCATTTCTTATTCTTCCACCCTGTTTATAGGTGACTGTTGCAGGATAGGGGTCAGTGGAGTTTCAGATGAGCTTTTCTTGTCCCTCATAGAAGGGGCAGCAGGATGGAGCTGCTCTTCGCTCCTCTGGGGAAGCGTCCAGATGCTCTGCTCTTGGCTATACCCAAGAAACAGGGCAGTGGCTGGTCAAAGTGGCTTTTTGTTGTAGCAGGGCTGGATTACACACAAAAGCTGAAGGTCCCCATGGGCATGATGAGAGCTCAGAGCAATGTTGTTGTGCAGAAATTGGAAGCGCTGGGTGTACTCCGGTATGAGTTACATATAGACGTGTCCTTGGAGCTGTCAACAGGAATATGTTTTAAAGCCACTCTCTGGGCGCTTGCGTTCTCCCATAAACATTTTATGTGTAGGCAATTTCAATATGCAAAGTGACCAAATCTGTTTTTAATACAATCACTGCTTGAATTGAAAAATGGAGTTTGTTCTGCCCTAATGCAGAAAACTCGACATTATTTTACTCAGCATTGAAAACCTGAAGAATTGATTTTGAAATGCATAATTGATTGTAACAATAAATCACTAGGCAACATATGCATGAAAATTGATTTTGCTATTACAATAATTAATTTGAAATGTGCTATAACATATTCATGCAGGGACTAAGCAACTCAATAATGGTAATAAATTGTGTTTAGTCAAAAACTATCCACTGTGATGCAGTTAACTTTTCTTTGTCCAAAAATTGGTAATATAGTGCTGTAAGAGACTATATAGATACATTTGTGAGGCATTGCTCCATGAAATACCCTTAATATCCTGAATACCTTATATTCTGCTGAGTAAAGACTCTCGAAGGATTGGAGACTTGCAAAGAACAGCTGGTGCCCAGATTGTTTTAGGAAAGAAATGTTAATGTTGTACAATATCAGCTTTCTTATCAGTCCGGCCCAGTAAATCTGGTGTTTTTCCTGGATAAATTGGTAGAAACTGTAATAAAGAGTAGAATGAATAGATGTATGGATGAACATGATATGATGGGGAAGAATCAATACAGCTTTTGTGGAGGAAAGTCATGCTTCATGTACCTATTAAAGGCCTTTGAAGCAATCACTGAGCACGTGGGTAAGGAGATCCAGTTGATGTTGTCGACTTGGATTTCCAAAAGGCTTTTGATAAGGTCCTTCACAAAAGGCTCCTAAAGAAATGAAGCTGCTACAGAACAAGGGAAAAGATCCCTTTAAGAACAGCAACTGATAAGGTAGCGAACAGGGGTAGGAATAGGTGTGGGTTTTTCTCGAGCGAGGGATGCCAGCAGCAGAGTTGCACGGCGCTGGGGTCCGTGCTGCTTAGTGGCAAGGAGGAACAGCGAGGAAACAGCACTGATCTGTTTAGCCTAGCAAAAGTGAAAGCTGCCTGCTAAAAGCTGCGGTAAGACCTTGCTGTACCGACTGGGAGATGAAAGAGGAAATAAAATTCAGCATGGTTAAATGGCAAGCGGTACAGAGAAAACGTAGGCACCTGCTGTCTGTACCTGCTGATGTGCACCAGCTGCCGCTGTTCAGGCAGGAGATCTTACTGTTAAAAGTCTGCGGCGGGAAAAATGCAGTTGAGTGTTGAGATTTTCAGAAAATGAACTGAGTGCAAAAGAAAACCCTCGCTGTATTGCTGCATAAACCTGTGGCACAGGCTCATGCCAAACACTGCACTGGTCCTGCCTGCCTGCTTCTTCAAGGGCACAGCAGAAGAGGAAATGGTACGAGGATTGGTGGCTGGAGGGGTCAAATACATAGAGTGGCTTCTGCAGCGGTAGGGACAAAATACCTGTGGACCTTGGAGCCAAGAAGAGGTGGGAATACGGCAGTGGAGCAGTGTACCAAGAGACATCCCGAAGCAGTGAGTTCGGTTCGGACTGTTAAACTGAGATAAGATCCTTCATACAACTTAGGTGAGACCCATAATATTTAGAAAAAAGCAGTTACTCGTCTTGGCTGTGTTCCTACTCACTGGTGAACGGTTCGGCTAAAATGTATGTATGCGTTGGGATCAGCAATAAGTCTTCTCCCAAGAGGTTCGACTTTCTTTGTTTTACATTGATATAATGAAGGTGTAGGAATGTCTCTGCCAAGGTCTGTGGAATTAAAATGGCACAAAATTGTTAGAACTATTCAGAGGGCTATTTTTGTCCTGCAAGCGGAAAGAGGAGACTGTGGCACTTTGCGCTGAAAAGTGAAATGAGTTGTGGTGTCTGCTCAACTGCTGAGCTGACGTTTATAGTACGGTATTCTAGTGGCCTGTTGAAATGAGAAATTCCTGAAAACGGCGAACATTTGCCATAGACGGTGCCTTGTCTATAGAGCTATCCACTGGTAAACTCTGCCACCGAATGCATGGCTTTCTTCATACCATTGTTTGAGTCTTTGGATTTGAGTTGGACCTGTTCTGATAAAAGTGACCAAGCTGAGTCCATGTTCTTATTAAAAACAAACAAAAAAAATGTTCTTCTCTTTTTTTTTTTCCCCTGTATAATTCCATTCATTTTATGTGCTTTAGTTCTGTCATTTCTTTGCAAAAATTTCAACATTAATATCTCCTCTGTTACAGAGCATTAAAGTGAGCTGGTTGCCTCCACCACCAGGTACACAAAATGGATTTATTACGGGCTATAAAATCCGACATAGAAAGACTACCCGCAGGGGCGAGATTGAAACACTGGAGCCAAACAACCTCTGGTACTTGTTCACAGGTCAGTGTTCACGTGGTACAGCCTTGCAAGGTTTTGATGAATTAAATGCTTTGGGAATAAAATATACTTCACTTCAAGGGAACATTGATTTCTTTGCTGGCAGGTAGCATTTATTGTGTTGTGCAAAGACAATCTTTATATTTTTTAACTTTTTTTTTTCCTCAATGCTTTTATTGTGTGTTTGTCTCCTAGATTTTACCATTTTCATTAGTGAATTTGAAGCCAAATTTCTTGTGTTCAGTAACTTAAGCCTCAGATAGTTTCTTAGAACACTCAGTTAGTATCTCACATTTCCTTATGGGTGCAAAAATATCCATTTCCCCAGTTTCTTTTCCAAGATTTTGGATGGAAAAATATCTCCTCACAAAATAAAAAGTGCAGTAGTAGATCACAGCCAAACTGTAATTGGAGTGAATGAGTAGTCAGATCAGTATCCTAAGGGTAACAGTGAATTCTAATAAGTGAAAATTAATTTCATTTGGGTTCTTGAAGAAGATGTTACCCAAGACATAACTGAGAAAGCAGCAAAACATCAAGGGTGAAAACTGGAAGTCAGTGGCACCTTTGCCATTGAATTCAGTATAACCATGATTTCACCTTCAATGACCTGCACTGACCTGCTTTATATGTACTTGTATATGTACTAGTAGTATAATTTGCAGTAATTGGAAGAAATTCCGAATTGGATGTTTCAGCATAAATAACTTCATTTACTGTTTTGGAAGGAAAAGTAATAATTTGTTTCTTAATTAAAGAAAAGCAAAACTTTTTGTATGAGAAAGACATTAAATATAGAAATCTCAACTTCATAGCCTTACCTAGGCTAATGACCCCAGTCTCTCTTGGGACTACATGCACAGGGAGATAACTAATAGCTGCAGAACAGAAACATGGTTTGTGATGGAACATAGTGCATTAAGCATTTTAGACAAGTAGGAAGGGCTCTATTTCCTGGCAAATATTTTTAACATAGAAATAACAATGAAAGTTGCTAGGAAGCTTGAACTGCTGCAGGAAGTTACAGCCTTTTTCTGCTGTGTGGGAACAGAACAGGTTAGTTTAGATGGCAATATATTTTATGTTTGCTCATGTCCTGAGCAAACTCTTCAATGAATTCCTCGGGGGGCCGCAGGAGTCTCCGCGGGGCGCTCAGGGTCCCAGCCCGCGCGCCGGCCCAGCCGCATGCGTGCCGGAGCTCGCCTCGCTGCATGCACTGTTTAAGGGCTTTGTTTAAAGAAGACTGGGAATACATATTTTAGAAAGCAATTAAGAAAAATTTCCAGACCTCATTATTACTTTCTGCATGCATATATTGTGATTGCTGGAGACCGAGCTACATGGTTGTTCCAAATGGCTCTTTTAAATATTAACGTGTAGACGCTTTAGGTCTTTGTTGCAATCTTCTCTTTGGTAGGCAAGTGCTTTACAGGATAATAAGAACATCTGCAGCAGCAGAGGAATTCAGAGATACAGGGAAGGTTTTTAAATAGCTGCTATCAATTTTATGGTAGGCTTCCGTGTCAGCTACATGTTAAACTGCTGTTTTTAATTTTGAACATTCTTCTCCAGAGAAAGTTTGCAACTAAATGGAACAGTTTCTTCTGTGCTTCATGGTCAGTACAGACTAAGCAAAAAGATAAGCGTATATCCGTGCCTTAGAGACTTGAAAGTTGTGTGGCAAGTTCAGGAAGGCTGCAGAGATTATTTTGTGATGGCTTTAGCCACCGAGGAAAATGTCCCTTTCCGAATTCATGCTCGTCCCATAATATTGGCAAGACTTCATGCTTTCTTCTCTGAGCCCTGGAAAGCAAACCGTTCTGCAGCTGCTATCCTGGTTCCTGTCCTGTAAATTTTATGCATGAGAACAGAGTATTTGTAGATCTCTGCATTTTAAGAGCAGTGAGCTGTTTTCATTAAATGTGTGATTAATGGCTTAGTCATGTAAAAAAAATTCTTCATTTTTCTACTGATTTGACTGCTATTAATTTTGTAGGCATGAGCACAACCAATGGGAATTATGACCCAAAATAGTCATTGGCCAGTGCAGCCCTTGATCGGTTTTTGAAGCTTTTTCTTTTGGTCAAAGTCTCTTTTCTCTAAATGAATAATAGAGACCCCTCTAGAGCCATTCGGCTGCGCCTCTGCCCACGCGTTTATTGGGGCGGCGTTGCCCAGGCTGCATCGGCACGTGTGTGCGCCACGTAGCATAATCCTCAAAGAGGGCGCTAAGACACCAGGGTAGAGGCTGGGCGATGTGCTGAGCTGAGAAGTGCTGCTCATTTTATTGGAATTTTTCATTTTATTGGAAAGTTTCATTTTATTGGAAATTTCATTTTATTGGAAAGTTTGCAAAGTTTGGTCATGTTGTTAATTGGGGTTTTCTTTCTTCTTTCTGTATGATTTTACTTTTTTCTTAATAGGACTTGAGAAAGGAAGCCAGTACAGTTTCCAGGTTGCTGCCATGACAGTGAACGGGACTGGACCCCCCTCGGACTGGTACACAGCAGAGACGCCAGAGAATGATCTTGACGGTAAATACATCTCTTTTAAAAGCTGTTATCACCAAAAGCCTTCTTGTGTATAGTTGACAGGAGTCACTGCAATCGTCCCCTAGCACTTTCACCAGCACGCTGTCAAGGTTAGGGGTGAGATTCCCCGGATAAGAGTAATAGAGGCTGTTGTCTGGTTCTTTGAGAGAAAGTGTTTCATGGTGCCCAGATTGTATGGCTTTCTGAGCAGGTGAAGAAGCATGGAGAAGAGGAAAAAGCTTCATTTTTTTTCTCTTTTTTTTTTACACAGAAGCTTTCAAGATTCCTTATTTTATTCTTGCTTTTCTTTGCAGCGCGTGTTGCAATTGCAAAAGTAAGCAGCTATCTGACCTTGCAAATAGTCACCCAATAGGTGTTTGCTTACACTTTTGGATCCCATATGCCTTCTGTTGTGCTTCTCTGTTATCACCAGGACCGAGGAGTCGGAAGCCTTTGTTGTGATAATTCTTTACCAGAATTCAGTTCCTGAGGTCATGGCCATTTGAAATAATACTATGAAATGAACCTGTAACTTCATAAATCATAAACATAATCAATCAAAGAAACAATGAAAATAATACTAACAATCCTAGCAATTCACTAAATAAATATTCAGATATCTCAGCTACTGTTTCCTAGCCTTTTTGTTGACAGACGTTAGAAATTCAGGTTGGGAAGGAAGCTGAATAACTAGCAAAAGATGATGGGATGCAGGTACCTGCAAACTGTGGGCTTTGTAAATCTCTACAGATGCTGACACAAAAGGGGGAAAAAAATCACTGGAATGGAAGGGTTAGATAAAATGATTGAGATATTTGAGGAAGTAAAAGAATAGAAGGAGAGTAATGAAAAAGCGAACATCTGATGAAAATAGCTATGATTTTTAAAACAAAATGAAGCACCTAGAAAGGATCAAAGACAAGCTGGATGAAAGAATAAATAAATAATTAGTTTAAATGCAACACCGTGCTTGACGTTGACTGGAACACTTTGGCTGAATGGGTTTCCTAATGATCTCGGAAGCAGCCCTCATAACTTTTCAGAATTTCTGCCTGTTTCATGTCCTTTTCGTTAGGCCCAAATGCATTTTACAGTAGACCAGGAGTGACTGCTTGCGTTACACGGCACGCAAAATAAGACAAGCTATACAGGTAGTTTCTCATCAGCATTTTAAATAAAAGACAGCACCTTTGGAAGCATTGTAACTCTGCTGACAGATGACAACATGCCGTGGTGCATGATGCTGTCTTTCTAATTACGAAACGGCTAGACAGCAGTTTCAGGAATGATGTTGTGAAGGTGGAAGCGGATGACTTTTCACCCTCAGGAGCAAAATGCAAGTTCTGAACACACCTCGGAATGCAAAAAGGAAGTAATGCATTTGTACACGTTTCTTTTGGTTTGCATTCTGTACACCCTAAATCCCTTTGAATTTTTTGTTCCTAAATATATGTATGCATGCAGAGATGTTAATAGAGTAATCACAGGAGACACGCGATAGAACTAGGCGCGCCTGAATAAATTAAAGCAAAGACATTTTGTTCACGTATTGTATTTACATGCATTTGCATTTGCAATAGCGATGAATTATCGTAGAGAAGCTGCAGCCATCTGATGCTGGGAATGCACGGTGTTGCATAATACATACGTATTTACCAACAAGATGCTTTGATAAACCCTAGGGAGAAATCTACTTCTTACTGTAGTAATGCGGAGTCCTGCAAGTGTCAGCTGAACGGGAGAAGTGCTGTTGCACAGATTGCTAACTGCAGTTCCCGCTCGGCTGTTAGGGCTAACGCAGCTTCCCTTGCTTTCACTGGAAGCCAGCTTGGCGTAAGCAACATGAAGACAAACAGTATCCTGGAGAACTACGCTAGCTCCCAATGGATATTCATTTTAATTAGTGTGTTTTGTTAAAGTGATTAGAAATCCAAACATAGCTGCTTCCTCAAGGTTCCCTAGAAAGCTCGCGTGCCTTTACTGACAGCTGGGAAGTTTTTAAATATTTATTTTAAGCCTCAAATTTTGTGTTTAAAAAAAAAAAAAAAAAAAGCGGTACTTTCCCCAAAGGGTCTGATTTAAACGGCTTGAGCAAGGATGCAAGAGAATCTCTGATGAAGTTTGTGAAGGTATCCTCCAGGAAAATGGGTTTAGGATGCTTGGTTTCTGATTACTGCAGTGAACAGATGGGAGCTGTTAGACATATTAGATAGTGATATAGTTTAACTTCAGCTCTAAATTAGCGCTTTAAGAGCATGACAGGCTAGACTGCTATCGCATTGTAATTTAAGCTGAAAAGTGATTGGAGAAATATGGGAACAAAATTGGATTAGTAAAAACTACCCTTACTTTGTGCAATGCGCATCTGTGACTGTCTAAGGAAATTGCTAAAGTGACCCAAATGTGCAGCATTTTCCAGCTTGTCAGTGGAATTAGGGACCTGTAAGTAGTCCTGAAAGCGGCGACATCCTTGGATGAACGACACGGGCGTTTAAGCCCTCACCAGGAAACGCGGTTACGGATTCGGAGTCGGCGTGAGACGGCGGAGCCCCCCGGGAAGGGTTTAAAGTTGTGCCTGAGGGGAGGGAAGTACAAAAGGCAGCACCAAAAATCTGGTTTGTGGGCCGATCTAGGGACGACGTCTCACCCTGCGCGCCGAAATCCAGTCCGTGAGGCCAGCGCAGAGCTGGTGGGCACCCAAGGGTGCATCGGAGCCCACCGCTGCCTTGCTCACGGGTGTGCGAGCGCTGGAGAGATGCGACCCGGCAGAGCCACGCAGAGGCAGGACGGGCCGATTCACCGATGTAGACATTTGGCTGTGCGTTACGTCTGGCAGAGGTCCTTACTCTGGAAAACATGATTCTCGGGAAAGAGAACAATAACACCACCAAATATTTGAAAATAGCGGTAGTTGATTTTGACTTTTGGATGTGCATTTTTGGATGTTAAATGTACGGCACAAAAGTTTAGAGCTGTTTCAGAGAAAGAAAAGCGTTTGTTTCCAGAAAGTGTTGGAAAGTAAAGTTAATTAAAATGTAATAGAAAGCACTTTATATGGAGCAAACAGAAAGCTGAAGTGAGCGAGAAAGATCTCGGATGTTGTGGGTTTTCTCAGCTGCCTCCTGTCTCAGCAAATGCATTTGCTTCCCAAAATGGGCAATAACCCAGTGTTTATGCAGCTCTCATATTTGAAAAATGCTTTAAAAATGTTATTCATCTCAGCTTCACTTTAGAGGCCTGTTTCACAAGAAGGAAGCGGGAAGTTAAACTACTGTTTGCTTTTTGGAATAAGAAGTGATGATTTTTGCTCTGAAATGCATGAATCGCGTGTTTGGATTGTCTGAAATAAATAATGTGAAATGTTTGAATACAATAGTTGCAATCCAGCAGCTGCCTAGAGGTATTTGTACTGCAATTGAAATCTGTGTTGTGCGAGATGTAAAAGTTATCATTTGAAGCCAGAAGGGTCTTTGAATATTCTGATACCGTTTGCTGCCCGACAATTGCTACTTTTAGGACGTTCAAGGAATTTCAGTGTTGCTCCAACTTCTTATTTCAAGGTTTTAAGTTGTTACTTCGTCTTTCGGTCTTGTAAGAAACACTTCTGTCACTTTGTTTTAAAAATATCACAGTTCAGAAATAGCTATTCAAGTAACTTTTGTTTCTGCATTAAGGCAAAGTTTGAGAACGGAATGGGGGTAAATGACACTTTTATCTGACTCACAGTGGCACCACTGGTGCAGCCTGTCTCTTCTGTTTGTGAGTAGCTACTTTTCAGTGCATTTTCCTCGACCTTTAAACAAGACTCAGGTTTTGCAATTTTAAGAAGTTGAACGCAAAGGACTTCTAAAGGCGCTGGGTGTTTCGCGCTGGTGCTGTACTGACTAGCCTCCCCGAAGATACAACAGGTTTTCGCAGTACTCCACTGTGTTCATAAGAATTCATTTGAAAGCACATAAAATACCAAGGACATATATGTGGCGCTGGTTATTGAAAAGTGTTAATTCTTCTTTTTATTACCTTTTCCAAGGTTTACAGTGGGAATGCTTCACAACTGTAAAGAGTCTTTTGTTGGAGTTTGCATCATTTTGTACAGTTACTAGCTTGTCTACCCTGTCCTTGTTGCCTTCCATGTAAGCTTTCATCTATTATATTGCAAGCCTTTTTGTTGGGGAAAAATAGTAACTTGTCTCTTTCTGCTCTCAAAAAGACAAGCTACTGTGCAGCTCCACTGAAGAGACTTGTGATATGATAGTTACTGGTAAACTCGAACAAAAGGCATTTACTCATCTAATCGTTAAAGCATAAGTAGGTTTATAGAAGTCAAAGTCTACCGAATAGATATCCTGTGATTAATTGATACTTAATGAATTTTACTTGTACATAAAAAAAATCTCATTCTGTTACTACATTTCTAAACGTTGGTGTATTATTGAAAGCAGATTGTAAGCCAAGAGAGGCATGTCCAAGAGTTAAAATTTGCTGCTTGCTGTTTTCATGGGAGAGAGGTTATCGCCAGAATATACTAGTATATCTCTAACAAAGTCAACCTTTTTGTTAAATATTATAGTTAATCTGCGCATCCAGGATAACGCATGTAGTCAGTTGTCAGGATCCTACTGAACTTTCAGATAGACCAGGGAAGATGAAAGGTGTCTTTAGCAGTCCTCTAGCAGGTCATCTTTCATTCTCCTGCATAATTGCAGCTCTCTCTTGTGTTCTTACGCTGAAGGTGGAAAGCACTGGGAGATACTCTGTTTAAAACAGGAAGAGGCATATCAGTGCTCTAGGAGGGGGAGAATGTAGCTCAGAAATGAAGCTGCATGTAAGCTCTGCATGTAACTCTGGGGCACCTCGCTGTTTCTTTGTACACTTGTTTAAATCTAAACCCAAACCTTATAAGTAGTAAAACTGAGTGAGTAGAATATTCATTGATACTTTTTTCTTTTTGCATCCCAGAATCTCAGGTTCCTGACCAGCCAAGCTCTCTTCATGTCAGGCCATTGACAACAAGTATCGTCATGAGTTGGACTCCGCCGCTGAACCCAAACATTGTTGTCCGTGGGTACATCATCGGCTACGGCGTAGGCAGTCCATATGCTGAGACTGTGCGGGTGGACAGTAAACAGCGTTATTATTCCATTGAAAATTTGGGTGAGTAATTATTTTTATTCGTAATAACATACAGAGGTTCCTCTGAGACTATACCAGTTTGTTGGTGTATTTTTAGGCTGTCACTAATGCCTCCTCTCTAAGCTGTTTGCTTAGGATATTTGCATGTCGCAGGCTCAAGATGAGAGAGCAAAGAGGTGTTTTGTGGTAGGTATCAGTCCCAAGCAGTAGCTTGTGACCGATGACTTGGCAGCGTTATTAGACCATGTTGAATCTGAGGCTGCTAACAACCGAGCTGTTACTGATATCGAGGTTAAGTTCGGACTGAATCCAGCTCAAGTATGTGTACACAACGGACAAATGCAATGAAAGCCTATTTTAATGTCTGGTGCACCAAACATAATACTGCTTCATGTGGTGTTGTTTATTCCTGCAGCAAGTTATAATAGCTCCTGCAGCAACTGTGGAGATACCTAGGCCTGGTGTCGTCTTCAGACTGTACCTGTTGACTCAAGAGACTCTGCCTTCCAGTCGTTTCTCAATGGCCTCTAACACCCCTAGTGCTTCCTCAGGACTGCCAGATCAGCTGGTGTTTGATTTCCTAGGTCTTCTGAAGTTAAAATTAGCCAGCTTGCTATTGAAACTGTTTAAACCCTTTAACTGAAGGGGACTGTGGGGACTAGATAGCTACTGTGAATTGCAGCCCCTCAGCTCTGAGAAAATGATAATCTTTGGCAAAAGAAGGACAACCAGCAGTGGACGCTGTCCAACGACAGTAGGCTTTTTACCCGACATGCCTGCACCCAGAGGAGGATTCATGTCCAGGGGTCTAAGCTTTCATTTCTGTGAGTAGCCCAAGCTGCATTTCTAAGCTATGAGACTCCAGTTTTCATTCATGGGTCTTAACGGACATGTTAAAGCCCAGAGGACAGAAAAGAGTTGTACTGATAGCATAAGTGGAGCTTTAGTTTGCTAACCGTGGAAAGAATAAGCAATGACAATAGATGCTATGCCATTGTTTAGTCTCATGAGCAGCTATGAGCCCTCCGTATTTGAAGTTATCACCAATTATCCTATCCCCAGTTTTAGCGTAACAACAAGACGACTAGGCAATAACAGTGGCCAGGGAGGAAGTGGGACTGACCACTCATCGCAGGAAAAAGTAACTCATCTAACTAGAATGAAGTCCGTGCCTAATTTGTTCAAGTCACTGTTTGGAAAAATCTTTTCTAAACCTGTGGTCTTAGCCTCAAAACGCGGGGCGCTCTCAGACATGTCAAACTTCCTTGCTCAGGTGCTGATTGTATTCAGTAGCTCTTAGCAAGTCTTGTGTTCCTGACACTGGCTCCTGATTCTGCAGAGAGCTGGACCTAAAAATGTTATTCCCTGACCTGTCTTCCCCCATGTTTGAATTTAATGGCAGTCGCAAAACTCCTATTTTGTGTCTGTCAAAATGATGTCAGGAGAGAGGTAACTCTTCATTCTTCACCACGCAGTCCCTGTGACCGCTCCTCTACGTTGGGAGCAGGGACCTGGGTCCTATTAGTGGTGATGGACCGCAGTCCTAGCACTGAGAACAGAAAGTTTAATGGTTTCCTTTTCATTTCTTCTTTAGCTCTTTTATTTTGAGAACTGTTTTTCTTTTCTGTTAAGTTTTCTGCTTAGTAGTCTGAGAATGATCAGGTATTACAGGAAGATTCATGAACTTGGTGTGTTAGGGATGCACAGCTGTACTGGCAATCTCGATTCCTTACTATGAAAAGTCTTTGACACTCTCTATGTAGTGCCGAAACTCCTTGATACCTGGGGTCGCTTATTTTCGCAGAGTTTATAGTGCTGTGAAACTGCGTCATCCAACAATTTTTGCTGTTTTCTTGGGGAAAACTGGAGAGTAGACTAGAATAAATTGTTTTTACTGTTACTTGGTCAAACAGCTTCTCGGTGGCCACTTACATCTTTCATGATTTAGGTACTTGCAGAGAGCCATGCATAAGCTCTCCCAAATATTCTAAGGGCTCAAGGGAGCTGATTTGATAATGTTTTCTGCAACTTTGAAGTTATTTGGCAAAAACCTTCTGATAGGATAACTATACTTGGCATTTATGGAAAGATGGTGGTCTGCTTTGGCTAATAGAGCTGTTTCTAGGGATTAAAAGGGTTTTACTATGCTCTTGGCTGTGCTAGCAGGAAGAGGTACATAGGGATTCCAGCAAGTCAGAGAAGATGTTTCAGTAATCACAGAAGTAACACTTGGACATCCAGCAAATGTCAAGATGTACAATATTTTGAGCTGACCAAATACTTAGTTGTAAATAATTTAGGCACTGAAATGATTTTTTTTCCTTACTGAGCATCCTCAAACAAACTGAGAATTTTATGAAAGTTATTAATTATTCAAATGTATTAAAATAGCAAGTATATTTTCACTGCATATTTCGTGGTTTGATTGCAAATATTCAAAATATGAGCAGTGTAACTTAATTGTAATTGTCCAGATTATTCACATGCATCTGATCCCTAATTGGCTAAGGATACAAGCACTTTGGTTACAAATCCTGACATGTGCACATTTTAAGTTCAATTTCTGTGAACATTCACATGTACATCTTTGAAAATCAATTTCCATGAATAATTGCACTAATGAAATTCCATCATTTAAATATCCATCGAAAATGAACCCCAGAGGGATGTGGCCAAGGGCCCAGAGAGTGCTTTTAAAAAATTAGAACGGTTGTGAGCACTTCTTACATTATTCACCCGCTTTATTAGAAGCCATTTTAAGAAAATTATACAAATTGATGAAACAGAGTTCTTTTCCTAATAAAAATACTGATTTCCAGAAGATTTTGAATCAAAATGTGCTCTTTGGCACATTGTGGGGAAATGGGGGAACATTATTTTCCAGATGTTATCTGGACTTTTCCCACCTGCTGTAAAATTTCCGATAACTCCTATGTCTGAGGAGGATACACCTTATCTTAAATTTCATGCACAAAAAAAAGAAGTCTGATTCCTAAATAAATAATGAACTTCAGAGACTTTTTCTCTTCCCTCTGAAGACTTTGTCCCTTTTGATCCTCTTGGGTCTTACAGATTGCTGCCTCTTGGCTCCACAGCTCTCCTTTATCTTTTTAGACCTAGACTGTGGAGAGGTCGCTCTGTTTCTGCTGAGTTCAGTCTATGATGTATGTAGCTGAAAAACTGGGCGTTTTCAGCTTCCCGAGAATGAAATTCACTGCAGTGCTTCTTTTTATTTTTCCTTTGTATGCTCTTTTGAAGTACACTGCAAACCTATTTATCATTTGGACTTTAGAGCAGTTGGTACTTTCATTAAAGAGCAATCACATTTGTCTGGCATCAGCTTCGTTTCCAAAATCCTGACTGACTCTCATTTGCAGTGACCGTCCCGTACAGATGCCAAAACCTAATAATCTAGGTCCAGATCAGGCGTTGCTTTAGTTTTATAAGCATGTTCTGTGGTCCTAAGAGAAATGGTGGTTCAGAGCTCCCCCAAATAAAGAAAGTGCTGTGCCTTGTTGAGCAGGATGTGCCCCCCCCCCGACACTGTACATGTGCATATACGTGCATGTACCCTGATCATCTTCCTGGGAACTTATTTTTTCTCTGCTTTCAGAGCTGCGCAAGACACAAAACAACTTCCTGGCCATCTTTCCAAAGATCTTATGGTCAAGAGAAAGAGATTGGAAAGCGGGATGTGCATGGAAGTAGGAAACTGATCTCCCCCTCTAGCCTCATTATTCCCCCAAATAAACGACTTGCCCCCGATTACCCTCTCCTCATCGGCGTAGGTTCACTGGCCTTGCTCCCTGTTGGGTGTTTGCAATGTGGTTGCCCTGGAAATGCGTGCCCTGGTGCTCCCCGTGGTGGGACAGCTCCTGCCTCGGGTGTGCCGTTGGGTTGTAGTAGCCGTTCCTCCTCATTAGCAAGGCAGTGCTGTCCTTCCTTACGTTGGCATTTGGACAGGATTTGTTCCTCCTTCCCGAACTTGTTTGTGCGGCCGCAGGTCATCGTTGGCCACCCGTACGCGCATCCATACAAGTGTTAATGGTTGGATACGCCAATGCTGTAAATGTCTGGGAAAACTGTAATTTGCTATTCTTTCTATTGCTATGCTGATTTCTATGCAGACAGTAAAAGAAATCAATCCCACTATTTTAAGGAATAGGAAACTGGGGTTCAGTGAGAACAAGAATTAAACTCTGCTCCATTCGTGTCAGTGGGACATTTTTGTCACCGCTCCAATATGGCTAAGATCTAACCCAAAATGACTTCCTAGCATCATAAAGCAAAGTTGTGGCACAATCGGAAACCAATCCCAGTCTGTGCTTTTAGCTCAAGAACATTTATCGTTACTGCAGTCAGGTTCCAGAGAAGGTAGTAAATTCCCTTAAACGTTTTGAGCAGCAGGCAGATGCCATACCTGATAAATGTATTTCAAGAGTAATCACGGTATGTTGGTATTCACTAGTATAACCTTTGTAATAAGGCAGAACTAATGATGAACCGTCTGACCTGCCCTCAAGAGTGTGGGTTTATTTTACCTAAGTTCATATGTTTTTAACTGAGTCACCTGAGTTTCAGCCTTATCAGCCAACGTTACTTCTCTCGTTAACCAAGCAGGAAAAGATAACACCAAGGGATAGTTCAGCCCATCTAACGTTTACATCTTTCAGTGGTTTTTTTCTTCCTGTTGACCACAGTGGATGTCCATAATCCTAATCTAGACATGTTACGCATTGTTGTGCCTCAAAATTCACCATTCTAGTGCTATTTATGAAATTCCAAACATCTTCTCACCTTCAGTCTGCTACTACTGGTCTACTGCAACTCTTCGGAAATCTCATTAGCTACTTCATGCCACCTTTATATTTCTAACTGCTTTGAAAACTCTGCTTGGATGGCTTGGAAGCAATGGGAGACTTAATGGCTTAATTCCTCCCCTCTCGACAGTGGAAATATCACACCTGTGTGCATACTTCATGCAGCAACTTTGCATCACATTTAAGGTAGTTTCTTGATTG